ATATTAAAACATTCTTCATCTGCGCTCCGTTATTGGCACCAGAAATTGTTTTCTCTCTGTCTGGTGCGCACTTGAACTGCCGCGCGCTCCCCCGAGACTCGGGCTGCTACCCAGGCCTCGCAGCGTGCTGGCAGCTGACGCGGCGCTGCTCCTGTGTGCTTGCCACTCACGCCCCCGCCCCCGCCCCGGCCGCGGCCGCAGGCGCGCTCCCGGACGGCTGTCAGCCTCGGCAGACGGACGCCCGCCCGCCCGCCCGCCCCCGCCCTCCTCGGGCCTCAGCCCTGCCCTGGTGGTCCCTAGCCGGTGCCCGGGCAGCCCGGTCCCGGCAGATGCCGCAGCCCCGTGCAGACGCCGGCCGGCTGCGGGAGGCACAGAGGCAGCCGGAGCTGCCTCCGCGTCCACCCCAGGGTCTCTGGGAGACGCAGGGAAACCCTCACTTTCACACGGCAACAGGTACGCCCACCTGCAGGCCACGCCCCCTCCTGTGGCTGGAGGGCCCCCTGGGGTCCAGACCTCGGCCACGCCCTGGCGTCTCTGGGCTGCACCCCTGGGCAAGGGTGGGGGCGCCCCGCCCGCGGTCAGGGCGGAGGGAGGCCCAGTCTCACCCGGACATCCGGGCCCACAGCTCTCTCAGGCATCCTTTGAAAAAGTTCTAATTCCAATTAAAATCAGAAAGAAACACAACCTTGCAGGGTCTGAGAGTCCCTGCATCAGCGCAGTGGAGTGCCCAGGGCCAGGCCCGCGGGGTGGGGGAGGGGACCCCAGCCCACAGGAGGCCGCAGGGCCGCTGACGGCAACGTGCCACCCACTCCGGTCTCCGAGTCCAGGCCATTCTGGGTCCTGAGCTGGGCCTCGGGTGGCTGGAGGGCCGGGCGCCCGCCTTCCCAGACCCTGTACTGCGGTGCCCACACCGCCAAGATGCAGGGAGAGCCGCCTGTCCCGGGGCCCAGGAAGGAGGGGGTGCAGCACAGCAGCTGGGCAGTGGGGCGCTGGCGGGGCCCTGGACGTGACCGGCAGGGACGGCCCCCGGGAGAGACCCTCCGACCCCTGACCGCAGGAGACGCCAGGCAACCGGGTGTCCCCGCCCCCCCCCCCCACGGCAGTCGCCAGCTGTGCCCTCCTTTTTGCCTCGCCCCTGCTCAGGGCACCCCGCGCCCTGGGCAGGATGAGTCCCGAGGACCCTGCCCCCGGCACGCCGGGCACCTCGGGCACCGTCGGCCCCACTGAGGCCCGCTGGCCCCTCGGCCCGGTGGGGCTCAGCGTCCCAAGTTGCTGGCACACGGTGGGCGCTTCACACGCAGCCTCACACAGATTCGAGGGCAGCGAGCAGCCTCCCCAGGGGGCCGCCCCTGCCTCGCTCTGCAGGCCCCATCCGGCCTCCGGCTCTGTGAAGAGGCGGGCCTCTCCGCCAGCCCGGGCCACCTGACACTTCATGCCCCCAGCGACCACACCTTCGGCGACCCCCCAGCCCCTGGTTCTCCCGGAGTGCAGCCCCCACCGACCACAGGAGCTGTCGGGGTGTCGGGACCGCTCCCTCCCCCAGGGGTGCTGCTGGCCTGGGCAGGGCTGGGAGCCGGGGAGAGGTCTGAGGCCCAGGAGCAGGGCAGAGCCCCAGTGGGTGTGGGGTTGAGATGGGGCAGCCGGCTGGGCTGGGCCGGGCCAGGGCAGGGCACAGCACGTGACAGACGCTGGCCTCTGGGCCCCAGCAGGCTGCCCTGCTGCCCGGCCGGGGTCACCACCCCCAGCAGACACGGCACGTGGCTTGGGCGGGCGGAGCGGAGGGTGGACCACGGGCCTCTGGGAGGGAGGGTGGGCAGGAGGAGAGCGGGGAGACGGGACCACACAGGGAGGCCGTGGGGGGAGCCTGCAGCCATCTGCCGCCGCTCGGAGCTGACAGACACTCCTTCCGCAAGGCCCGCGCCCGTCAGATGAGTCAATCAATCAAAAAATTCTTATGAAACTTAATCATGGAGGGTCGTGTTAGGGAGTGGGGAACAGATTAAATTACCACGGTATTAGATACGGGAAATGATTTCTGTCAAAACCATCTTTACTGCAATTATAATATGTTAATTATGTATTTCATTAAGTAAGTGGATCAGAGTCTGCACAGACGCAGTCACGTGCAGGCCGGGTCCTCCGCTGCGCGTGGCGGGAGGGCTCCCGCGAGCGCGCCCGCCTGTGACTGCCGCTCCCCGTGTGCGCCGCGGCCCGGGCGGTGGGGGAGGCGTCCCGGCCCCGGGCTGCCGGAAGGGCCCGGGCCACAGCCCGCCTTGCTTCTCCAGGCGTCCTCCAGCGGACAAGGCGCTGCCGAGGGGCGGACACCGCTGTGTCCCGCCCATCTGCCGGTAACGTCTACCCGAGACCCCACGAGGGTCACGGCCCACGGGCCCTCGGCGCAGAGAGGCCAGCCGTGGGAAAGCCACGCGTGGCACCTGGGTGCGGACGCTCCTGCCCCCCCCCCCGTGGGTGGCGGCTGCCCCTCCAGGGCGGAGCCTGCAGCAGCCTCGCGGCCACGGATAGGACCACCCTCGCGCCCGTGACCCGCTGCTCTGCACACCCAGCGGCCTGCCAAGCCCCGGCGCCAGGCCCCGCCGTCCGCAGGGCTGAAGTGGGAAGCGGGACGAGGGCGGACCTGCACCGCCAGAGCCGGCTCGGACCCCATGCCCTGTCTGCCCCCCGCAGGGGACCCTGCCCGAGCTCGACTCCGGCCCAGGGCACCGAGCCCACCGCGGGGCAAACCCTGCATTCCCCCGGCAGCGACCCCCGCCGTCCGCTGGCTCCGAGGCCCCTGCTGCAGGGTGCGAGGGGTGGGTGAGCCACGGAGCAAAGGAAAGAGGAGCGAATCAGTACTTTTCAGGAGGGGGAGGCTCCCGAGGCCCGTGCGGGCCCGGGGCCCGGTCCCGAGAACGTGGTTGTCAGTGGGAGGAGGCCCCACAAGGGGGGACGGCGGGCGAGGCGGCGGCCCGGAGCGCGGGCGTGCAAGAGCCGGGGAAGGGGGCTGGTCTGATGAAAGCCCCGCCAGCCTCCCCGGGGAGACGTTACTTTCCTCATTATCCCGCTGATGGGCCTTATTTCTCCTGCGCCGCGCCGCGCGCCCCTCCCAGCCCCGCGGGCCGCGGCGGCAGCGCCGGAAGAAACCCGTCACCTCCGTCCAAACGGCGAGGAAAGGAGCCGGGCGTCCTCCTCCTCCTTGGGGGCCGCCGAGAGCCCCCCCCCAGCCCACCCTCCTCTGGGCCCGCCGCCCACTCGTGAACCCCAGTCACCTTGGCGGCGGCGGCGGTTCCGTGCCGCTCCCGGGTCGCGCCGCACACCCGGCGAGGAGAGCAAAGGCCCAAGTGGGGGAGGGGCCCACGGGGGGCTGGCGCCCACCCTGCACCGCAGCGCGTCCTCCTGCGACCGGACCACGGGGGAGAGCGTGCGCACGCAGGGCGCCGTGACGTCACCAGGCCCCACGTGAGGACGCAGCGGGGTGGGGGGCGGGGAGTGCTCTGGAGGCGCAGGCTGCGACCACCTTACCAGCGGCTGGAGCTCGCAGCAACTGTTAATTAAGTGCATTTCTCATTACTCTTCAGTAAAGAGGTAGATTTCATGATGGAACCTAACAATGGATGGTAATTTAAAGTGGTGACAATAGTTTAATTACTCGCACACACACAAAAGTTAACTTCATAACTTATTTCTTTGTAAGAACAAGTTCATTTAAAATATTTTGAACTGTGCATACAATTATCACTTTGACTGTTTCCTTCGTGACTTCTTGGAGACAAAGAGTCAATTCTGCCCGTAAATTTCTCACTAGACAGTTCTTCAGACTGAGAATCCTGTCTCACAAAAATACAAAGAAAGGAAAAAAAGGGGGGGAAAGTCCCACCACGGGTTGGGACCTCCCGAGGGCTCGGGAGCCGGGTGGGCGGATCCACGTCCCTGCCTTCCTGCCCTCGGGCGCCCCTCCGGCGGGCACAGCACACAGGGGACGCCGGGGCGGCACCGTGGGGGCCAGGGGGTCGCCGGCCCATCTGCCCTGTGCCAGGCTGCCCGGACGGGTGGCCGCATGAGAGGGGCCCTCCCTCGGAGCCCGGCACGGCTGTGACTCGCGCTCGACGGCACGAGCCTCTGCGCCCCGGGCCTCACCCCTCTCTCCTCGCCCGAGGGACTTCTCCTGAGAGTCCACCGCGGGGACCTGCACTGGAGCCCGTGTGAGCAGAGGAGCGCCCTGTGTCTCAGCCAAACCCCCAGCCGTGGGCTGGGGCCTGGGGTTGGCCCCACGCCGACCTGGGCTTCGATTCCCGGAAACCTGCAGGCGGTCCTCCCGGGCATCTGCTCGACGGGCCGCCTCGCGTGTGGGGCCCGGAAGAAGGGGACACGCCGGTGGCCGCGCTCAGCCGTCCCAGAGCCCCTGACGCGGCTCACAGTGTCCCGTGTGGCCCGATGCTGTTCCGGGGCCGGCGAGCGCCTGGAGACAGCCCTTGACCCCTGCACCCACCGCTCCCAGCCCCACCCAGGCCTGGCACCCAGTAAGTACGCGCAGTAGGTACTCAGTGACGATGACGGAGACTAAACAGCATGTCAAAGACCCAATTACGGAGCTTTCTGTCAAGATGGCGGCACAGGCACACATGAGTCACCTCCTCACTCAACCACATCAGAATTACAGCTAAAGTGTAGAACCACCATCACTCGGAACCGAGAGAAATTGACTTGAATGGGAGTCTGACAACTACAGACTTAGTGAAACCACGTCCATCCAGACTTAGGCAGGAGGGGCGCAGACACGGAATGGGCTGGTCCCTCGCCCACGTGTAGTGGATAACAATTCAGGGGAGACATCTCAGGAGCGAGGAGTCCCAGCCCCACACCAGGCCCCCAGCCCAGGGCTCCAGTGCCAGGAAGACAGGTCCCCACAACGTCTGGCTGCAAAAACCTACAGGGACTGAGTCACTGGAAGAAACTTCTGGAGCCCAAACAGTTCCTCTTACAGAACCCACACAGGGACTCACCTACTCAGAATCACTCCTCCGAGCTCCAGCACCGGGGTGGCTGCTTGAAAGGCACCAGTGGCACACAGGGAGGAGCTGAAGTGTCTGGTGTCAGGGTGAGCAGACGCCATTGTCCCTTTTCTAATGTTCCCCCACGGAGCTGGCAGGCTGGTTCCATTTCTGAGACTCCATTGACCTGGTGAAAACTGTCTGAACTGCCTTGGAGATCCGCAGAGGCTCCGCCCCTCCCAAGCTGCTTTCCCATAGGATTGGCTGGTCTTGGTTCCTGCTTCACAGCTTCCGGAATCCTCTCCAACAAGCAACAGCTGGTCTCAGTGAGCCCTGGGCTGGGAACTAGCAGCCTAGACTCACAGCTTGGCTTTGCCTGGGAATCCCCAAGCCCAGCACAAGTAGCAGCCATCTCAGGTTGCTTTACGGCTCAGAAAGGGCTGCCCCAGCAAAACACAGGTGGGGGCTGACCTTGGCCTGCACCACCCAGGAAACCCCAGGCCCAGTGCACCCACTGGACAGCTACAGACCGCGTGGGAGCACCACCACCCTGCCCCTGCACAGCTGGTCCTCCATGGAGGGCGGAGGTTGGTGGTCCGTGGTCACAGCCAGTCCTTGCAGCTGACCGGTTCTGGGTAAATTCCTCCCATCGACCTGCCACAGCAACCAAGGCTCAACTACAAGAGGAGGGTGTGCCCAGCCCACATGAAGGGTGCACCCTGAGGACCCAGCTTGGGTGGTAGGGAGGCTGTGCCACTGGTCCCTACAGGACACCTACTGCATGAGGCCACACTACCAAGACAGGGGGTCACAGCAGCTCTACCTAAGACACAGAAACAAACACAGGGAGGCTGCCAAAGTGAGGAGACAAAGGAACACGGCCCAAATGAAGAGACAGATGAAAACTCCAGAAAAAGAGCTAAGCAAAATGGAGACAAGCGATCCATCAGATGCAGAGTTCAAGGCACTGGAGACCAGGGTGCTCAAGGAGCTCAGTGAGGACGTGAGCCGCACACAGAAGACCCGGTCGGAAACCAAGGACACACCAACTGAAATAGAGGACAGTTTACAGGGAAACACAGTAGAGTGGATGGAGCCGGGATTCTCATCAATGATTTGGAACATAAGGAAGAAAAAACAACCAATCAGAACAACAGCAAGAAAAAAGTTTCCAAAAAAAAATGAGCACAGTGTAAGCAGCCTCTGGACAACATCGAGAGGTCCAACATTCACCTCATTCACCCGGGGGTGCCGGGGAGAGAAGAGGAAGAGCAAGAAGTTGGAAATCTATTTGAAAAAATAATGAAAGAAAACTTCCCTAATTTGGTGAAGGAGATAGACATGAAAGTTCAGGAAACACAGAGAGTCCCAAACAAGTTGGATGCAAAGAGGCCCCCTCCAAGACACATAATTAAAATGCCAAAGGTTAAGGAGAAGGAGAGAGTCTTAAAAGCAGCAAGAGAGAAGGAGACAGTTACCTCCAAAGGAGTTCCCATCAGACTGTCAGCTGATTTCTCAAAAGAGACCTTGCAGGCAAGAAGGGGCTGGAAAGAAGTATTCCAAGTCATGAAAGACAAGGATCTACATCCAAGATGACTCTATCCAGCAAAGCTTTCATTTAGAATGGAAGGGCAGATAAAGTGCTTCCCAGATAAGGTCAAGTTAAAGGAGTTCATCATCACCAAGCCCTTATTATATGAAATGTTAAAGGGACTTATCTAAGAAAAAGAAGATCAAAACTATGAACATTAAAATGACAAACTCACGACTATCAACTGAATTGAAAAAATAAAAAAACCAACTAAGCAAACGACTAGAACAGGAGCAGAATCACAGAACCGGAGATCGCGTGGAGGGTTGTCAGCGGGGAGGGCAGGGGAAGGAGTGGGAAAAGGGCACAGGGAGTGGGCAGCGTGGCCGGCAGGTACAGACCAGCCGGGGAGGGGAGGGACAGTGTGGGGAAGGGGGAAGCCCTGAGAACGGACACGCACAACCCACGGACAGGACCTGCGGGGAGGGCTGGCGGAGGGAAAGGGGGGACTGGGCAGAGGGGGGCAGAGGGAAAAACTTGAAGAAATGTAATAGCATGATCAATAAAATATACTTGAAAAACAATTTTAAAGATGCTATTAAGATTGGATAGCACTGGGCGTTCTCAGGAAACGGTGACGTTTCTGGACGCGAGATGCGCGTCCGAGCTGGTGGCGGGCGAGGCCGACAGCCGCCCCTGGGCGGTGGGGTCAGCTGTCCGCCGAGGCCCAGCGCGCGAAGGCGGCGGAGGGAGGAAGCGGCCCCTTCCTGCCTCGTCTCCCCTCCTCCTGCGCTCCGGCCGGTTCAGGCCACGGGCCCCCGAGTCTCAGGCTGAAGGACGCCGCCGGCCCCCTCCCCGGGGGACCAGCTTGCGGGTGGCAGATCCCGGGACCCCACAGCCTCTGTCACCTCGTGAGCCTCTTCCCGACGACCAGCCGGTCGGCCAGCCAACCCCGCCGCCTCTCTGTGTCTCAGACAGACGCCGCCTTAGAGACGGGGATGGGGACGCGGCTGGGGTTCTGCCGTGTCCTGGGGACTGCACCCCCGCCCCTGCCCCCAGGGCCTGCTAGAGGGGCCGGGTGTGCGTCTGGGTGTCCCTTTCCGCAGTCATCAAGGTGGTGAGCAAGTGAGTGAGTTCAGGGATCCTCGGCCCCGCCGGCCTCTGGCTGCATCCCGCGGCCGGCTTCGGGCTTGCGGGTGGCCCTCTGCCCCCAAGCCCTCCTGTTCCCCCCCCCGCCCTGCACAGTAAGGCGCCCTCTGCCCAACAGGACACCACACCACCCGCCGGCTCCCACCAGCTGTGATCACGGAGCGGACGCCTGGGTCCCGACGCCCAGCACAGAGCGCGTCCCCCTCGCTGGGGTGACGGGGCTGGGGACCCAGAGAGCGGTCGCTCTGCGCTGGAAGGCGCCACAGCCGGGGCCTGCGCCTGGGTCTGGGCTGCGTGGGAGAGCCCGCCCTGACGGGCCCGTCCGTCCGTCCGTCCGGGACGTGCGGAGACAGAGGCGGCGGCTTTGTCGCCCAGCCCCGGGACCTCTGCGGGCACCCTCGGCCCGCCCTGCCCCGTCCCCACCTTTCCACGGCGGCCCACCTGTCAGGCCTCGGCCGCCGCTGCGCGCCGACACGTTCGCGGCCGGGGAGGAGGCGGCTCTGGGCAGGGCCGTGATTCATCCCGGCCTGAACTTCGGGTGACCTCTCCCGGGCGCCGAGGCGCGGCTGAGCGCGGGGCCTGGGAGCTTCTGGCCCGTTCTCCTCCAACAAACACACCTTCCTTCCTCTGGAAAGGTGTACCCCCCCCCCCCCGCGAGGTCCCCGGGCGGTGCGGAGCCGCGGCAGCAGGTTCTACAACGTGACAGTCACAGGCACAGGAGCACGGCGACAGCTCGGCGCGGGCCCCCCCCCCACGGCCTCCTTTCGCTGGGCCGCCCGCTCTGCCGCGGGGGCGGCGGCCGGGGGGGGGGCGCGGTGCGGGCCGCTGGGGGGCGCTCACGTGCGGCCCGAGCCCGGGCGCGGCGGGCCCCCGCGCGGTCGGGGCGAGGCGGGGGCTCCCCGTGTGAACGTAAAGCGACCCGAGGGACATAAATACATAAACCTCATCACAGGACAATATACTTTTTATTTGCCTGAATCGTGTTTGTATCGGCCGAACCGACCGCGGCCCGGCACACGTTTATTAGAAAAAGGGCTCCCCGAGAGCGGGGGGCTGCCCTCGCCCCGAAGATGGATGGGCCGCCTTCCAGTCCGATTAGGGGCCCGGGTAACTCACTCACGCCCGCGCGGAGCCGGGTAACGAGGGGCTCGCGGCGACCCCGAGGAGGGCGGGGGCGGCTGCCTGTCCATTAAGCGCTTTATTACAGCGCCGGCAGCCTCTCCCTAACTCGGTTAGTCCCGGCCGCGCTCCGCGCCCCGCCCGCCCAGCAGACAGCGCCCGGGGCTGCGCGCGGGCTGCGTGCGGGGTGGGCGGCCGTCCCAGGGGCCACCGAGAAGAGGGGGCGCCCGGGCCTGGCCAAGGGTGAGCTGCAGCGTGTGCGTGCGGTCAGGTCACACCACCGCTCAGGACTCTCACAGTCCGTGTCTGAGAACAGGAGACAGTTTCTTAAAGGGCCTCTTCCCAGGAGCTCAGCGGCCTGGCGGGGTGCGGTTCCAAGCCGTGTGGCCGAGAGCCCGGAGGGACGAGGCCTGTGGGGACGGACAGAGGGGGTGCGGCCCGCACGAGCCCACTCTGCCCCTCCGTTTGGGGTGGGAGCCAGGACCTGGGGCCCTTTGCAGAAGGAAGCAGAGGGAGAGGTGCCATCTGGGACCCACCTGCCCTGCCCCCCTGCTCCTGGCACCCTGGAGCTCAGCTCGCCCTGGGGGTGGTGAGGATGACACGCCCACCTCCAGCACGCTTCCCGCCCCTGCCCCCCCACCCCCACCATCACAGGCTCCTTCCCAGACCAGCACGACGTGCCCCCGTCCCGTGCCAGCGGCAGCGTGCCTGGCACATTGGGGGCCCGTCCCGCAGGGGCCCTCCGTCCGGCCGCTGAGCAGGCCACGCACTCCCCAGCACACTGTGTCCCCGACGGCCCACCTGGAACCCACAACGGGCCCCGCAAAGGTGAGCACTGTCGGGAGGAGGCTGGACACACTGGGGCGCTGGGGACGGGTCTGTTCCCGGGTGCAGATGGGGGCCGGGCGCCCAGAGAGAGGCGGGCTGCCCCCAGCGCCCCAGGGAGACGCCGGCAGGTGGGGCTGGGAGCAGATCCCCCCGCCCAACTCCCGGACCAACCCACTCCAGTGAGGCAGGGAGGGCCACGCAGCGGGGCCCCGGGCCCAGCTGGACCGGAGCTACGGCCTGTCCCTCGTACCCCTGCGTTTTGAGAAAAGCGAACCACGACCCCGTGCTTCTGCTGCTGAAGTAATTTAACATCTGCCTGCACCTGAGTCTAATTGAAACAATTCATTATCAAATTTACTGATCTGCTTAATGATTTTGTATTTCTCTTTCAGAATCACCTTCCATCTCAGCCGATCGGGGTAAAATACCTCCCCTCAAAGCCGAGAGCTGGAAGGGGCCTGGGAGGCGGCTAACTCCAGCCCCTCACTTCAGAGGTGGGGTGACGGG